TTTCGCCATGCTGCAAGATGCATCTGCCCTTCACCTATAATTAAATAACAGAAGAGGGTGATATTCGCCGAGGTTGTGATGGAAAGGGATATTGAAACATCTTCCACGAAGACTGTCATTACGATACTGGTGCCTTCCCATGGCTATAAAAAATTGGCCTTTTCAGAATGTTTTCGTTTCCTCCTTTGCTCCTTTTCCTCTTCTCTCCACCACCTCCACCCCCACCCCCATCCCGTCCCTACACCTCCTACACCTCCTGCTCTTCACCTCCTTTTCAACAGCCCCCAACACCTCTCCTACAATTCACCCCCTGCAACTCACCTCCACCTCCTACATCTCGTACATCTCATCACATTCCTACAAGTACATCACCTTTCATACCCCTGCACCTGCACCGCATCTCCATTCCTCCACCACCATCCCTACACTTCATTTCCTACACCACCCACATATCCTCAACCCTTCCTAGAGATATATACCCCCGTGGGCTGTTCTCTGGCCCCTAAGATAATTCGTTAGCGATCCGTGGTGACGTATCAAACATCCAAATAACTACGAATACCAGTCGCCGAAATTCGTTCAAGAGACTCTGACACACTCTTTAAACTTCTCACTGGCCGCGCCTGTAGAACACAGATCCGAGAAGATACCTCGCCAGGGGAGTCGTTTAGTGGACCAGTATGCCGCACACAGCCCTCTATTGCGTAAGTCACGGGTCCAAGGTTTGCTATCTTTCCCAACCGTACGGAGTATTATTGGTGAAAAACAAGACCTGCTACCGATGATTCACAGGACCCTGCAAATGGAACGGAGACTCAGGGTACTAAATGTGGATCCGGGTAAGTCGATTCTCTCCGGCTGATATTTCGATTTTGGGGTTTTTGAGCCGTGGCTAATCTTTTGATAAGCTAAGCATCAGGTCATACCTTCAATGTTGCAGCTGATCCTACGCCGGGTCGCCAGATATACTGAGCAACGGCCGCCTTCATGGCCTTTGTCCCTTCAGCAATGAGTTCGCACTTCTACGTAGTGCTGATAACTAGTAGTTTAGCGCCTGCCTGAAAGAAGCTAAGATGTACTCATCATGTATATAACTGGGGTGTATTCAGAGAGCTAGTCACTAGTAAATAGTTTAGATAGTGAACCAGCGTTATTGGCCCTGAAACGACCTTAAACTCCTAGGTTAAAGATTAGCTGCAAAGTGAGCATTAACCCCAGCCATCTAGAACAAAGCCATACTTCACGGTGGCGGCAATTGCGGCCTTTGCCAGGAAAATCTGACTGTTGGCCATACTATGAGTATCGCACACAGATGCTCTTTTAAGAGGTTGCACCGAGCCATTAGGTTACGGTTCCTTGTATCCACCAGCCTCACTTACATTGCTGTCAATAGCCCTGGAATGCGTACAAATTATACAACCGCATATAGCTCAATCAGCGTCAATTGAACCCTCCGATAAAAGGGCCAGCAGACGTCAACGAACACAGAGCCTCAATCTGCCGAATACGAGATTCTCTTCCCGAGCCCGCAGCGTCCCTGCAGCTGGTACTGTTCACGACATTCCCACACAGGGGAGGAAGCGCTAGTTACCAACCCTGAGCAAACAGGTGGCAAATGGTGGAGTTTTGCTGTTAAAATTATTTCCAACAAAACAAGGAAATGGATTAGATTAAATATATTACTCACCGCTATTTCGACATTAAGGTATCATACTATGTGAACTATGACCGGAGATTGGTGGCAATGCATCGGGGTTCGAAGAATATGAGGGTAGTCATTAAGGGGTCCCCGTTTCCGATACGTTGGTCCTAAGCTCCCCTGAATCCACATATGGAACTAAAACAAAAAAGAACGTAAGATTCAGACGGGACTACATCACAGGACGTAGTAGCCAGTACGAAAACGAGAACTTCATAGACTGATTACGATCCCGTAGACATATGAATTTGTGCTCGGCAAAATTTGAGTATTTATTTTAGTTACTGATTCGAGCTAACCTTGACTCAGATGTATGACTCTTTGGATAACCAATGAACAGCATCAAAACTAAGAAACCAAGCGATAAGTCTAAATGGATGAATAATGACAAAGCCCCCCTGGTCCCATGTCGATTCGTACAAGGGATGCCAGGGATATGCCATCAATATGGCATGTAACCAGAACTCTTTGGCAAAGGGAGTGATAGTGTTCCGCGAATAGTCAATCTGCCTAAGGTAGGATCGAAGCCGACTAACAGAGTATAAAGAAACCGGTTTGATAGGGCATCAGCTTGTTGTTGTGATCGTGATGGTCGAAAGGGTCTAACGTTGATCGAAGGTCCATTTATGTTATGGAAAAGGGCAGCCATGGGTCGATATGGGGGTTATCGAAAGAACATTCGTGGGAGCAGAAATGCATTCCCACCCCCAGTACTCTGTAGATATGTATCTTTTTGGTAAGGAGCAATTCTGTGGCTCTCAGTATTTCACCGTGACCCGTATGGGGAAGAGCTCTCCGTTGTAATAATATAGTAACGTTGTGGACAAAAGCAGCAGCAGAGGCAGTAATCGCTACCTCTGTAGACCCTCAGCAGCCACGCGGATCACATCGTGGTCGCCAAGGGGTCCAGCGCGGAGGATAACCCCTAGCATATATGTCCCATCCTGAGTTTTTCTCCCACGGCTGCTCCATAGGACTTAGGTATAGATAGTCCAGATAGGACTTACATGTAGTAGTCGTCAAGGAGCAAGGCCGGGGGAGAGTATAATGGTCGTCTGATTGGATTAGAAAGACGACCATCTCCGTAACGTTCTAGCAAGATAATAGCATGTTGTCCATCGAAGCAAAGCCCCATAAGACTGTCAGGATCGAGGTTGGCGATATTCCAGGGCTATGTGAGCTCCCGAGTAGATGATGGTTCACATGTAGGCGTATGTGGAGGGGGCCCTTTTGATGAATAGAGAGGTAACAGTAACGGCCACAGTAAAATGGAAGGAAAGGAAAAACAATAACGGCCGCACATGTATCTTCTTCAGGCCATCCAAACAAAGGTAGGAGGGCCGTCAAGGACCCAGCAATGACGGGAGAGGAGCATCATCTCGCATAGCCCATAGCGCCAGCTGTAACCTGGGGGGAGAACAGAAGATGTCAACATAGGGTGGTGAAGAAGGGATGCGATGGTGGACAAGCAGAAGCAGAGGACGCAGAGGATGTGGACGGGAGGGCAAGCAAGATATAGAAATGCAGTCGCAGCGCAGCAAGCAGGGCCCGGGAGTTTACATGGCCACGTGACCAAAACAAGGTTTCGGATAGCGGTAGGAAAGGAAACTCCGGTATCCCCGGCCCCATGAGTAAAACTATTGCTCCGGCTTCGCATGGCTCCGCTAGGGCTGGCTCCGGTGACTCTCAAGCAACTCCGTACTCATGTGAGTGCACATGGCTAGTGTTTTGGCTGTCTCTGTTCCACCTGTTTCAACCTCAGGGCAGCCAGCTTCTGCTTGTTTCAGGTCTGTCAGGGCGTCTGTAGATAATAACCTCCAAGTTGAGTCGTCCATCAGAGCCTAGAAACATACGACTCTCCGGAGGGCCACCGACACACCACTCGGAGAAAGTTCTCCCTCCCCTTTCTCCTCCCGAGCGCTACGCCGTGGCAACACCGCCAGGAATACCTGATTAACACAGCCATGCATATCCACCCCCGCCCTGTTGAGATTGAGATAGTTATCGTATGTCGTTGACTTCTGGCGTGTTGCAAGAGTGCAAGAGCCTGGATGACTCAGCAGAAAAGCGGATACCGTCAGCCCCCGGCCTGACCAACAGGGTGGACGGAAAGAGGTAAATACGGCGTAACGCCCGAATACCGCAACAGAAAGAAAGAAACATGTTTCAAGACAGAGCAAAATGCCAAGACATGCTCACTGGCATAAAACTTTATAGCGGGTGCCCAGGTGGGTCTGCCATCACATGACCTCAACACTTCGGGCCCATTCCATTCAGGAAAAGTTAGGGCTTAGGTCTTAGGGCTAGTTAGTGGATCGCAGGACGACAAAGCAGAAGAAGAACGGTAGACGAAGACGAAGACGACGATGAAGATGAAGATGAAGATATCGAAGTGCCGGCAAGAGGTGGTGAAGGCGGTAGAAGAACGACTGGGGATACGGCTTGGGGGGCAAGAGATACCATGCCAGGACGAGGACAACTCACCAATGAATGTGTCAACGGTTCCGCTCGTTGTATGTATCCATGCATCGACCACGCCTTGACCCTCGAGGACGAACCACCACGGCGCACCCTGTATAGGGAGATGTGTATTTATAGCACAGTTCGAGAGATAAGATGCGGCCGCACATACAGCCAGGCATATAAATAGTAGGAGAGCCAGCTCGATCCCTGCTGCCGGAGGCCGCCCGATCCATGTCCCTAACCATGATCTACGGCCATCTCATCGAACGCCATGGAGCTCTCCTGCTCGGATAGGGAGGTCTTTTCTCTTACTTTCTCAGGGGATATAATGGTAGATAGAGAAATAGCCGTGCTGCCGACAGCAATGCATGAACTATTATTAGGATGATAGCCGGTGCCCCTGGGCGGTCATCTGCCAGACCCTGTAGAAATTGGAGGTAGTTACAGTGAATAGTTCAACTAGGTACAGTTGTTTGAAGCAGAAGGGAGATTCACAGCAGTTCTTGATCCTCTGCGGAGCGATGCCGGACATCAGCTGGACAAGCCACCGCAGCTGGAGGCAGAGCTATATAACTGGCCTCGCATCCCCTCTGGGCCACTGGCTCTTCATCCTTCCTTCAGCATCATCTGCTCGCCATCTTATCTCCTCGCCTTATCTCCCTTATCGTCTGAATTCCAAATCTGTCTAGTCGTGGCGTCATAGCTGGTCAGGAACCTCGGCTTCTTCCACCACAGCCCTCTACACTAGTTAGCGCTGTCTCACGCGGCTGCACCAGCTGTGCTCACCACCAGCTTATACACTCTCAATTAACATAGTATACCCTGCCATCTACTTACAATGGGTGACTTCGGAGCCACCTCCTCCCTCGATGAACCTGTCTCTCTCCCAGGACAACCTCTTCCCCCCCAGGATGATGACATCCATGTCCTCGTCACCGGTTTCGGCGTAAGCATTCCACCCCTATGTCCATCCCCTCAGCTACATCGAGAACCGAAACCAAAATGCACATCAAGACACCTACTGACGATGACCTAGCCATTCAAAACCCACCCCCTCAACCCCTCATGGCTAATCAATTCTCTCCTCCCACAATACGCTATCACCAGTAAAAACCGCCGAGTCCACATCCACGCCCACCCACGGCCGATCCGGGTAGCCTACGCCGCGGTACGTGAGGAAATACCTCGTATCATCGAGGAGTTCCGAGTCGCCCACGACGGACGTCCGCCTCACTTGGTGATTCACATCGGCATGGCTGCCACCAGACAGTACTATGCCGTTGAGACGGTTGCCCACAGAGAGGGGTACAAACATACAGATGTAGATGGGCAGTTCGGGATACCGTTTGACCCCTCCTTGCCAGAGAGGCTACAACCGGGTGTTCCTACACCAGCTGATTCTGCATCTACGTCCGAGTCTACGGGTAAGGTGAAAGTTGTTCCGTCACCGCTTGATACCGGCTTTTTGCAGGCCTGGAGGAAAAGTCTACCCGCCGGACGGTCAATTGATGTCCGTCTATCTCATGATGCGGGCCATTATCTGTGTGAATATATCTATTACACCAGCTTGTCAATGGCGTGGGAGGAGAACAGGCCGCGGGCAGCGCTGTTCTTGCATGTTCCTGGCTGGACTGATAAAGCTAGTGTGGAGATGGGCGTTGAGGTGGTAGTGGGTCTTGTCCGGGCTATGGTGGAGAGCTGGATTGTTGAGACGGATGCTTAAATACGGAGTACGGTCGATTTGTTTATTCTATTCTGTTCTATTTCTTTTACCTACTTGACCATTTCATATTCTTATACATGACTTACCCATTTATGTATTTATTTACGTTGTCCTATTTCGGAGTTGATACCAAGATGAATATGAGTTACGCATAAACAATTAGACTGGTCTCGTGGTGGATGGTGGATGGTACTGCTCCCTAACCTGGCGTTGAACGAGTGAGAGGAAAGGAACGAGAAAAGACATGTTGAAAAAAAAAAAGGGTAAGGAACTTTCATAATATATAGTTATAGGTAGGAAAAAGATAAAAAGGAATCCTCCTGTTCTACATCCTTGTTTCATTTCAGATTCAGAGCTCAAGCACGAAATTTTTCAACTTGCTGTAACGAAGGACTAAGCGTTAGTTAAGCCTGGTATGTGGAGGCAGATACGTTGCCTCCTCTTCCTGTCCAGTTGACGTGGATGTCCTTGCCCTCGGGATACTTCTCGCTCGCATGCTCGGGTTTGATTCTGAAGGTGTGGGCGCCAAAGTAGTCTCGCTGGGCCTGTAGGAGGTTAGCGGGAAGGTCACGCGACCTATAGCCATCATAGAAGCTGAGAGCAGTGCTGAAGGCAGGGGTTGGGATTCCCCAGAGGGCAGACTTGGAGACTACGTCTCTCCAGCCAGCCTGGGCGTTGTGGATGGCCTTGTTGAAGAAGTCGTCGAACAGCAGGTTCTCCAGGTCTGGGTTGGTGCGGTAAGCATTGGTGATGTCCTTGAGGAAGACAGAGCGGATGATGCAGCCGCCTCTCCACATCAGGGCAATGGACGGCTTGTTCAGCTTCCACTTGTATATTTTAGCAGCCTACAGATAGTTAGTTTAGTGATACTCGGGGAAGAAGTAAGTAGTTCAATTGGTGAAGGGACCTCACCTCCTGAATAAGCATGAATCCCTGGGCGTAGGAAATGATCTTGGAAGCATAGAGAGCTTGCTCAAGGTTGTCGATGAACTCCTGGCGGTCTCCCTTGAAGTCCGGCTCGGGTCCCTTGAGCACCTTGCTGGCTCGGATACGCTCGTCCTTGAGCGAGCTGAGACATCTGCCGAACACGGCTTCTCCGATCAGGGTGACCGGCATGCCGAGATCGAGAGCGTTGATAGCAGTCCACTTGCCGGTTCCCTTCTGGCCGGCAGCATCGAGGATCTTCTCGAGCAGGGCGGTGCCATCGTCATCATTGTAGCGGAGGATGTCACGAGTGATTTCGATCAAAAAGGAGTCCAGTACGCCCTTGTTCCATTTCTCGAAGACATCACCAATCTCAGCCGGGGTCATACCCAAACCCCGCTTCATGATATCATAGGCCTGTGGCTGTTAGCATCCTGACTGGACATGAAGGTGGGAAAATAAGTAAAAAGCGGCATACTTCGGTGATCAATTGCATGTCTCCGTACTCAATACCGTTATGCACCATCTTGACATAGTGTCCGGCACCCTCGTCACCAACCCAGTCGCAGCAGGCCTCACCATCACTCTTGGCTGCCACGCTCTGGAAGATATCCTTGATAAAGGGCCAGGCCTCCTCGTTACCGCCGGGCATCAAGCTGGGGCCGTAACGGGCGCCTTCTTCACCGCCCGAGACACCGGTGCCTACGAACCGGATGCCCTTCTCGGCCAGGTACTTGGTTCTGCGGTTGGAGTCCGGGTAGTGCGAGTTGCCGCCGTCAATAATGATGTCACCCTTCTCGACGAAGGGGAGCAAGCTCTCAATGAAGTCGTCGACAGGCTTGCCGGCCATGACCAGCAGCATGATACGACGGGGCTTCTTCAGCTTCGAGCAGAATTCCTGCACCGAGTGGGCTCCCACGATCGATTTTCCTGTTCCAACAATCAGCACGCAAGTCAACCTCTCCCCTCCCTTCTCTAGCTATGGCACGGAAGACCTACCCTTGGCCTCATTGGCAAGGAATCTATCGACCTTCTCGACTGTGCGGTTGAAAGCCACGACGGTGAATCCATGGTCAGCCACGTTCATGATGAGGTTCTGGCCCATCACAGCCAGGCCGATGAGGCCGAAGTCAGCACTGCCAGGCAGTCCCAGGTCAGCCAGCCTCAATCAAAACGAATATGTGTACACGAAGAGAGCCCGGACTTACACTGCTTGGTCTGCCATGGTGAAGAGTCTATCGAATTGGTGTCGTTTCGTCCGTCTGTAGGTGTGTTCGCTGCAGCTGGAGCTGTGGTGAAGCAGCAGAGTTGGCGTTGAGGTTGAGGTTGAGGCGGGGAGAAAGCTGGCGGCGGCGGGAAGATTACTAAAGCGGAAGGCCAGAACTCAAGTCCTAGATCTTGTTTACCTACTCGACTATATAGCACAGGACGCAGAGGATGGGCTGGTTGCACGCTGCGCTCCGCTGGATACTGATTTACACAAGCTAGTTATATAGAGAGGCCGCAGACTGCAGTGCCTCGCAGCCTTCACTCTACCAATTGACGCTGCTCGTCTAGTTATGCCGCCCGCCATCCCACTCCCTCGCTTGCCCACGCTGCTGCCCCCGCCGCCCACCCACCGCCCGCTGGCCCATCCACTGCTGGAGATTCTACAGGCCCTGCCACGCTGCGTCGTGTCCGGTGCTGCCGTCGTCGCTGTGCCCGAGTCTGCTTGACGTCCGCGACGAGGAAGGGGGGGAAACGAGACGAGCAGGCATCTGGGATGCACCATTATGTCACTGAGGGGCAGCATCAGATCCCGGCCTGGCGTTTCGATGGTTTGGGAGGCCTGCAGCGACCAGGAGCTGAGCGTGCGTCTTCCTATCCCTGCCGCCTCCTGGTCCGGTGGGCGTCCCCCGTCGTCCGCCGGCTTTCCTTCGCCTTATCTCGTATTCCGCGGTCTTCAGTCGTTATCGTCGTTGTCGTCTTCTTTCTTCATCGTCTTCGTTCTTCTTCTGTTTGTTTTTTGTTGCTGCGGAGGGGAAGCTATTATGTAATATTTACGTAATAACATTAATCAAAAATTAGTAATAAATATTAGCTAATAGTATTAGTAATATCATTACTCAGTCATTAGTAAGAGTTAATGACTAAGCCATGACTCATGCGCACGTGATATAAAGTTCAAAACTTCTTCAGGCCGAAAAGTTGGGGAGATTCGAACAGAAGCAGAAGAAGAAGAAGAAGAAGAAGAAGAAGAAGAAGCAAGAAGCAAAACAAGAGAGGAAAAGGAAGAAAAGGGCAGAAGAAGATAACAAGCCGAAGTTGAGACAGAAGGACGAGAACAAACAACAGGAGAAGCTCAGCTGTCTGGTGGCTGATTGGACTCAAGGTACGTGTGCTGCAAGCATCTCCTGCAGAACACTCGACGGCAGCCCTCTGCCTCTACCTACACCTCTGTACTCTACCATCCATCTCTGTATCTGTATCTGTATCTGTCGAGCACCCGTTCATCATGTCCCTGCCGCCTCCTCCAGGTCTCCAGCGCCCGCCGCCATCCCAAGCCGCCTCGACGGCCCAGCCGCCGGCCTCGCTGCCCGCCCGTCCGCCATCCACCGCATCCTCATACACAGCTCCGCCAACTTCCTCTACTACTCCATCTACAGTATCGAGGCCTCCCAGCCATGGACCGGATGTCTCCAGACCGGCTGTTGGCGCGGCATTCGGGTTTCAACCTCGTGCCGTAGCCGCGCAGTCGTACCGGGCGCCTCAGACTCCAACATACCCTACCGTATATAACGCGGGATATCAATACCCCCAGCCGCAACACCAGCACCAGCTACCGCAGCATCATCATCAACAACAGCAGCAGCAGCAGCAACAGCAACAACAACAGACATATCAGGCACAGCCCACGTCGTACTACGGTCAGTCGCAGCCGCAGCGGCCGTATAACGCATCTACATACGGCCAACCCAATACATATCAAAAGCGCAATAACACAGGCTCATATGGAGCTCGGTCAGGACAATCGCGATACAATGAATCGTCTGGAGACCCTGAGATGGATGCCCAGATAGCACAGTGGCAAAGTGCATATATGAGCAAAGACAGTAGTGAAGCCGCCGCTGGGACTGTGGGTGCTTCTGGACCTGCTGCTACGGGAGCCAACAGCGGGCCTATAGGTTCCTTCCAGCGTCTACATGATCCGTCGTCAAGCACATCGACACCTCCTAATGGAACAGGGTCAGGCACTGCAGCATCTACCACGCCTATACCAGGCGCAAACCAAGGTCTAGCTGCCGTTCCAGGCCAGGAGTCCACCGAACCCGCAAAGACCGTTGTACGATCTGGAGGTGGCCAGACATGGACTGACTCGACGCTGCTGGAGTGGGATCCAGCTCACTTCCGACTGTTTTGCGGCAACTTGGCCGGCGAAGTGACAGACGACTCACTACTGAAGGCTTTCTCAAAGTATCCATCTGTACAAAAGGCACGAGTCATACGTGACAAGCGAACAGAAAAGAGCAAAGGGTACGGTTTCGTCAGCTTCTCGGATGGAGACGATTACTTCAAGGCTGCCAGGGAGATGCAGGGCAAGTACATCGGCTCTCACCCGGTGCTGCTGCGACGAGCCATGACGGAGATCAGGCCAGTGAGTGCGAATAAGGGGAAGCATCTCAAGGGCAAAGGCAAGCATGGCCATCATCACAGTGGAAGCGGATACAGCAAGCCGTCTGCCACACCCGCTCCGGTGTCCTCATCCGCGGGCAAAACAGACGGCGGCGTCAAGAAGCAGAAGACCAAGGGCGGGCTCAGGGTACTCGGATAGCATAGATAAAACACACTTCCACATCTACGTTAATATCATCTCTTCTGACCTTCGTCACCTCTTTAATATCTAATAATGTCTTTCTTCTCTATCAATTTCAACATCAACATCAACGTCATCCTTACATAAGCATCACAAAACTCCCAACTTCAACTTCAACTTTTCTTTCTTCTCGACCTCCAGAAGACTCAAACAATCTTCAATCTTCTTCTTTGCTTCTTTGCTTCAGCCTTCTCTTTCATATTCTCTTCTCTTCCTCTTCTCCTTGTTCTCCTCGACCGGGGTTTCTCGCCGGTGCCCATTTCTGCCACCCCCCTTGGCCCACTTGTTCTTGTTCTGCTAACGACTTTAATACTATTCTTCTGCTTCTTGCTTGCTGTCTTTTCCTCGCATTGCAAGCTCTATCTCCGTATTCAGATACATCTATCTGCTTAGTGCTATTTATTCATATCGTTTGCGCCTTGACATCTTGCTCTTGTCGGGACCTGGAATCGTCCTTTGGAGCGTTTACGCCGTATCTTGACTGCACGCGACCCAACCTACCACCATCAGCAACAGCGACGGGAAGAGAAGAGATAGACGATTCATGATGGCGACAGAGAACAAGCGCAAGTCGCAGCAGAGCCAGGGTCAGGATCACCATGATTTTGGGCCGTCGGGAACAGTTAGCTTGGAGAAGGCCCTCAGCTCAGCCATTGGCGCCAGGTTGGTCTTTCAGGCCCCTTATATTCCATTATATATTCTCCCGCCTGCCCATATATTGGTATTATATGCTAATTGAGTAGGATCCGCGTAACCACAACGCAGCCGGCCTCGGTGACGGTTGAAGGAACGCTATTCACTGCCTGTCCCATTACCAATATAATCGCTATCAACACCAGCGCCAACACACCATCCACAGGCAGCTCGTCGCCTGCTCTTGCCCTCTCACAGCCAGGAGACTTCACTATACTCCCCGTCACCCGCATCCACAGCTTCAACCTGCTCTCTCTCGCCCCGGACTCGCCCTCATCGCCTGGTGGGCCCTTCACATCCGCCCAACCCGCCATCTACCCGCTTGACATCCGGGCGCTACGGACCCGCGAGACTAACGCCATCGCCCGTCAAAAGGACCATGACTCCTCGAGGGGCAAGGGGGTGTCGAAGGAGGCTCAGGACCTGTTTGATGCATTCAAGCGGACTATGCCAACTCATTGGAGCGGGACCAGCATTGTCGTTGCTGACTCGGTAGTGATTGCGGCTCCGTATGGCGTGGGCGATTGTAAGACTCTTAACTTGGCTGGCAGAGACGAGGTAGCCGGTACTGCCCTTACCAGAGTGCGCAAAGTGGTCAGTTCGCCATTGCATCCCTAGACTGCTATTGGTAGATATTCGTATACTGACTGCAACAGCTTGAGATGGAACGAAAGAAGATTGAGCTCCGCCGGGCCAGCACGGCAATGGCAAAGTCAGTAAACTTCCCTAAGAATAATAACAACAACTACAACGGCAACAGCAGCAGCAATACAGACGGTCATCTCAGGAAGAGTTCTGCGGCGGGTACAGCAACACCTGCTACCACAACCACTAGCAATGTTGCAGCAGCCACACCACGCGACCCTCGCTCGGCCGTTGCAGTTCCTATCCGCAGCAATGCACCGGCGAGCAGCTCGCCTGGCGGCCAGAGGAAAGGGGGATAATCGAGTCGGCGGTGAAGGCAAGACGCCCGGGTGGAGGTAGGGAGAGAGCGAGAAAGGACGGGGGAAGAGAAGAGACCAAGGGCAACAGGGAGAACACCCTCCTGTCTGGTCGAGCAGCATAACTATCTGTTTAGCCATCTATCTGTCTATCCGTGTACGCCTGACCCATGGAATATGCATGCACTGTATATGTATATCTGCTTGTTGCTGTACGTCAAACGGCATCACGCGACATCAAAGCCGTTGATGCTTTGTTAGAGCTAGGCGGTATTGTAGTATAATAAGACATGCCATATACATATACCATCGTCCTCGCTGCCTCTAGGTAAATCCGTTATATTCACATTTTGCCCGAACATGTACTCTCTACGCTGGCAAGTTGATAGTGAACTTTGCTTGGCTGGCTTTGCTAGTAAAAAGGCTGAATCTCCCGTCTCCGTCTCACCCTTGCAAGGGAGCAGACAACAGACAACAGACAACAGACAGCAGACAACAACAGCATCAGCCAGCAAACTCCAGAGGAGAACCGAGACGAGAAAAGAAGAACAAGATATATCTCATGCCGTACGCAGCGTAGAGCACCACGGCCTCCACTCAGCGGCAGCCTGGCTCACCCAGGCCAGGCGACCTCCCTGCCTCCTACCAACCAGCAGCCAGCAAACGGCCATCTTCACGGCCAAAGCACGGCATCGCCAACACAGCCCATCCCAAGAGATATTCCCCTGCGTTAGACAAGCAACTGGAGCCCCGAAAGAGAGCCGACCGCCGCTGGTGGTCTAGGATGGGCTCCCTCGGCGCCAGCCCGTCGCTCACGGCCACCGTCAACGACACCCCCATCGACGACGAGGAGATAGGCCTCACCCCCCAGCAGCGACGCCACAAGCAATGGCGCGCCAGGAAGAGGCAGCAGCGTGAAGAGCTCGACAGCATGGTGCCAAACAATGCTCTACGCATGGCGGACCAGGCGGTGGTGAAGAAGCTGGCCATCAACGCCCTGTTCATCGGACTTTGGTACTTCTTTGCTGTATCAATATCCCTGGTACGTCAAGCTCTTTTGCTATCCCCTTGCCTATATGCTTTGCTTGATATCAATATGCTGACTGACTACTGATAGTATAACAAATGGATGTTTTCGCCGACAAATCTCAACTTCAAGTTCCCCTTGTTCACCACCAGCCTCCACATGCTCGTTCAGTTCATCCTCGCCTCCATACTCCTCTACTTTTTCCCATCTCTGCGGCCGCCGCTGAACAGCCCCGATGCAGCTCCGGGAAAACCCAGCAAGCCCTCACTAACACCGATCTTCTACCTTACCCGTCTCGTGCCATGTGGGAGTGCTACTTCACTAGATATCGGGCTGGGCAACATGTCCCTACGCTTCATCACCCTCAGCTTCCTCACCATGTGCAAGTCCTCTGCCCTGGGCTTTGTGCTTCTCTTTGCCATCATCTTTGGCCTCGAGACTCCCTCCATAAAGCTCATCCTAATCATATGTACCATGACACTGGGCGTGGTCATGATGGTGGCCGGAGAGGCGTCCTTTCACGCCGTTGGGTTCGCCCTAATAATAGCTTCGTCCTTTTTCTCTGGTTTCCGATGGGCTCTCACTCAGATTCTCCTACTCCGGCACCCGTCTACCTCAAATCCGTTCTCGACCCTCTTTCTGCTTACTCCTATCATGTTTGTCTCTCTCCTTGGAATTGCACTCGGTGTCGAGGGATACAATGAGATCCTCGCTGGTATCCAGACTCTCTCTGCTGAACATGGGACTTTCAAGGTATTGTGCTTCCTTTCCTTCCCCGGAATGCTAGCCTTTTGCATGATATCCTCTGAATTTGCTCTTCTTCGACGCTCTTCCGTCGTCACACTGAGTATCTGCGGTATCTTCAAAGAGGTCATCACCATTGCTGCAGCAGGTATCTTTTTCAAGGAAGTGCTCAGTCTGGTCAACATTATCGGTTTGATCATCGCCATTTCAAGCATTGCCTACTACAATTACATGAAAGTCACCAAGATGCGCAAGGAGGCCCTCTCGGAGAGAGAAGGGGTTGATGACGAAGAGGATGACGGGTACGAGAGTCCCGGACCCAGCTCTGGCCTTATGGATGATAGTCATGGTCACGGAAATCCCCCTCCTGTACAGAACGGCGCCTTGGGTGGACTCGTAGACCAGATAAAATCCGCCTTTGGCAACAAGCGCAGCATATCTGGCCCTCGATACCAACCTATGCACACCTCTGCGGAGCCTTGACTGGATAGCTCAATAACTCACCAGCGGTGTTGCACACTCCGTACTGTGCTACAAAACAGCCCCCTATGTTAGACAAGCTCTCACACAATACCCTTCATTTTGGACCCATATCCCTGGCCCCGGGCCGGCCCCAGCTTTGCGGATTGGAGGTAGATGATAATACCCCTTCCCTTAATAATATCGTTTGTCTTAATACAGTGGCATCGTTTCCTGGTCACATGTGAGACCAAGGCAGACAGACAGAAAGAAAAACATTGTTACCGTATATATACTGGCCATGTTGCTTTTGTATCTCAACTCCTGTACAGACAGTACTGTACACTCCAGGTGGCGCGCGTTATGTTTCCCTACTTAGATACCGTTTGGCTATGAACTTTACCCACTTTGGCATGTTATATCTCGGTTTCTACTCCACGTATTTCATAATTACTCGATAGGCGGGTTTGGTTTTGTATTCCAGCAGCAATATAAATTATTGGACTATTGGACGAAGTGGTTGTTGGTCGGATATGCTCGTTTCACATTAAACTACAACTTTATATATCAATTCAGAACCCTCGTCAGCGCTATCAATTCTCTATTAGTCTATCTATATTCTAATGTCACAGTCTTAAATAGTGAAATCAATTCTTCAACTGCTTGCAGGCAGAGACACACCAACTATTCCAATCAGAGAAGAAAGACGCTTGGACATGGCACTTATTGCTCAGTAGCTGCTTCTTTCTTGTATCAGCATAGATATCCACGATTCCCGACACAGACTCCTTATCATGAGCCACGAGCACCTTCACAAGAAGCAGACTTGCTTGGCTACACGACGCAGCATGTGGGCCAGACGCACTACGCATCGCCTCAGAATGGACCTCTCGAAGCATACCCCAGACAGCCTCGTCAGATTCAACTTTAGGTACACTTGGACCCTTACAGAGCCGAGTATACTCCCGCAAAACATTCGCCGTTTTCTGCACAAGTTGCTGAACACTCGACCTCCGCAATAATTGCAAGAGCGGAACAATAATTTCCAGCGCCAGGGACTTGGAGTGGCATTTCTTGACATATATCTCCAGTAGATCGAGCACTCTGTTCTTGAAGTTGATCATGGTCTCTTTGGCCTCCTTTTTATCCTTCTTCTTGCTTGAGGCTTGTTCGCGGGCCTGGAAGACCTTGACAAGTTGGGCATCTAGAGCCTCCATGTCATCGTCTCCCATGTCGGAACCATCATCTGATCCGTCAGATGCTTCAAGGTCTTTGTCTGCGCGATGGGTACCCAGTGCAGCAGCAAGTTTGGCATCGAATTCAGCCAGGTTTTGTTCGTTCTCCTCATCTTCTTCGTCTTCCTCTTCATCTTCCTGTTCTGACTCGTCTGATGCGGAGTCCGATTCACCGTCAATAACCTCAACATCGGAGCCATCAATCATTTCGACGTCACTATCCAGTTCGTCGTCGTCGTCTTCTTCTTCGCCTTCATCCTCATCATCATTTCTATCAAATAGCTCCTGTTGGCCCGCTAGGCTTTCCTTTGCATCGAGGATCTATAGTAATTAGCTCATGTCGAAACTACATACATAGAAAAGTGCTTACCGCAAGTAGAGACTGAAGGCCTGTAGGTGTCAGCTTTTCTGCGAAAGCTCCAAATACTTGCTCACTCATCTTTCGGAATAAATGAGATGGCTTCGAAGCAAAGCTGAGCAGTATTTCAACCAGTGCGTCAGAAGCTTGGCCGCTTTCTTCATCGTTGGATTTCTTGTGGCTTAAGAATTTGTCATAACACATCTTGAGCTCATCCAGCATTGAAACTGCGTCCGCGTCTCCGTTGTATACCTGAAGTATTGTCAAGGAGTAAAGCAATTTAAGCTCCTGAGCAGCCTGGTCCTGTTGTCCATCCTCTTGTTTACCCTATAACAGATTAGTCGAATATCTAGACACGGCGAAAAAGTGTAGACGTACCTTCTTGTTGATCTTCTTTAGGATCTTAAAGGCAGAATGGGCGGATTCAGATATACTGTCACTCATATCGATGATGGATTTGCCTGAATCTCCAGTCTCCTCCATGTCTCTAATTTTCTGGACAACCTTGTACGCAATATCAGAGGGCCGTTTCTGGTTGCTGATGATAATATTTAGAGAAGCCATGATTTTGTTTCTGAACAATTCCCTGGTAGCATCACTGATAGGAGGCTTAGCCGTATCACTTGAAAAGTAGGTGTATCTCGCAAGAGTGAGGATGATCTCCTGAACAGCTGAACCTAGTTCGTCGGAATCATCCTCCTTAGCAGATGTGATAAAAGATTTGACAATGGTCTGCAGGAAGTTGGCAATGAGCTGACGTCTGGAAGCGGCCGCCTTAACATCAGCTTCCGGGTTGACAATTAGGCCTTCAAAGAACGGCATGAGCTGCTTGATTGAGGTGTGAGATACATCGGCGACAATCTTCTCGACAACCTTGACTTTAGCAATCTGGTCAAAGTTGACTGCACCCCGAGGTCCCATAAGGCCGCATAAGGCAGGATATGCAAACTCCGGCTCCTTGGAGGCACGAGCCTGTATCGACTTTGCAGCCTTGACAGCAATCTTATGCAAGTATCTGTCTTCAACGGCAAGCTGGTTCATCAAACAGCGCATGAAATTTTGTGTAAAGATCTGACTGGCTACCTCTATGGATGCTTCGTTGAGGACCTTCATGAAAACGAGGAAACCCCAGTACTTGCGTTCTTCTGATGAAGCGGCAGCAAATAATCCACCTAGACACACATTAGCATGGTCTGAAACTTGTAAAACAGGATTATTAACTCACAGTCAACGACTTCAGTCCAAAAGTCGAGAAAAGACAACTGCGCTGCCTTATCTTTTTTCCCCTTGCCCTCGACTTGGCCCTTTCCACCAGCTGTAGAATATAACTTGGTGAGAATTGGGTCCCAGGCAAAAGGGAGCTTCGGGTTCCAAACACCAGGGTTCTTGACCTTTGACTCTTCGCCGTTAGAATCATCCTGGCCGGAGGATTCTTTCATAATTTTAGCCAAAGATGCCTTCTCGCGCGAATTTAAAGGGTTATCGTGACTCCAAACACCAGAAGGAAAGACAACTGGTGGAGAGCATGACAGGTCCATGGCGGCCAGCCAGATAGCGATGCCCTCGGGGGTTTTGGTAAGGTTATTCTCACACAGAGCAGCAAGAGCAGAATCGACGTATCTAGTGCCTCGGTTTCGTGTACCGATATCACGGATAGCGTGGAAAATGATATATCCACACTCTTCTCTCAGCCATGGTTTCTTTTTGGCCAACTCAAACACTAGAGAGAGCAGTCTAGTCCAGTTCTCAAACGGGACATCAGGCTGGAACAGAATAGAGCTCTTCAAAATAGCTTCTGCGCCGAACAGCCTACCAAAATGGTGGTCTCTTTCTTCCTTTTATGGAATTAGCGGTCTGGATGAAAAACTAGCGAGGGCATGTATACCTGTCCGGACTCAGCACTGGTAGTGTTTGTATTCGACTCAAGAAGGTCAATTGCCTTGGATACATCCCATCCTGCGAGACCGCTCTTCTGTTCACTCTCAGCCTGACCAAAGAGTATAGAAAGCAACTCTGCCAACGCAATTGAAAACCCAAGCCTTGCAGCTTTGCGGCTACTACATAGGCCCCTGAACAGCCGCAGTAGAGCTTTCTCAACATCCTCCGGCGCTGGATTCGCTTCTGGTGTGAAACGCGAGAGCAGCTCACCGGCAGCTTTGAGCCTGATTTCATCATTCTCGTTGCTCAAATCATCGTAAATTTCTACAAGTTTGACGTCCACATTGACCCTCTCGCGACGGCGTTTCTTGGGATTGAAGGACGACATCGCGCGTCTATGTCAAAATTGCCCCCTGGTATATCCCCAACTGCTTTTCTAGGTGTCTCTATGTGTTTTATCAAGCCAGAAGTTGATTTTGATATCTTCAAAGTCGATTTTTCGTTCGAAATCTTCGTTACCCAATGCGGTTAGCATAGATGCGGCTCTTTTGGGTTTAGCGCCTGAAATGATATAAATGAACAAAACATCCGTACGACAGCATTATTCGGTGGATTATGTATAATATTGGGCCCTGAGAAGAGAAGAGAAGCTTTTTTGCAGTTATTCATGAAAGTAGAAGTTCTATATACTGATATTTGGGGTATCGTTGATATGCTGGTGCATTGGAGTGTTGTCAGCATATTAACGTATGAGAGGGTTCCAGCTCAGAGCAGCAACATTCATGGCATGTTAAATTCACTGCACGGTAGTTCTTAGGGCATCCAAAATGACATTAACACAGTAGAATAAAGGCATTGGCAGCTATCATAAGCAACATTTCAAAGAAAGAATATTACCTCTCTACCTACTAGATATTGGAGTCCGGCGTTAACTCCGGCAAAAGTCCCGAGATCGACGATATAAACCACCCATGATACATCCAGACAGACATCAGTTGCGGACACCAACTACGAAAGATGAATATGCCAGGACAGAAGTACCAGATTGCCTCGATACCTGGCGATGGAATAGGCCCCGAGGTAATTAGTGCCGGGATAACAGTGCTGAAGAAGCTGGCCTTGTCTCTGGGTAAGTTTGAGCTGGACTTTGAGACCTTCGACTGGAGCAGCGAGTACTACAAGAAACATGGCAAGTACCTACCGGACGATGCCTTGTCTACGCTGAAGAAGTTCGATGCGATACTCTTCGGGGCCGTGGGGGCGCCTGGTAAGTAGCTACGGTACCTGATTACCATGGCACTGGGTTAACCAGGTAATGAAGAATGTGATGTGATACTAAGCCAAGGTGATAGATGTGCCTGACCATATATCACTCTGGGGCCTGAGACTGGCTATCTGCCAACCCCTGCAGCAATATGCCAACGTACGACCAACAAAGGTCTTCCGCGGCACCAAGTCCCCCCTTCGAGCCTGCTCGCCCGGAGACCTAGACTGGGTGATCATCCGCGAGAACTCCGAGGGCGAGTATGCTGGTCAAGGAGGCCGCAGCCACGCCGGCCAGGCTTGGGAGACAGCAACGGAGGTATCGATCTTTACTCGACACGGGGTGGAGCGAATCATGCGATTTGCGTTTGAGACGGCGCAGAGTCGAGACAGGAAGCTGCTGACGGTCGTGACGAAGAGCAATGCACAGCGCAATGGGATGGTGCTCTGGGATGAGGTGGCGGCCAAAGTAGCTGCGGATTTTCCGGAGGTGAAGTGGGATAAGATGCTGGTGGATGCGATGACAGCTCGGATGGTGTTGAAGCCACGGAGCCTTGATACGATTGTAGCGACGAACCTGGTACGTCATGGTTCTCCAGAGGCCCTTTGTGGTGCACCAAATGCGTCATACCTGAGCGGAGGCAGCTGACAAGTGACATGGTTCTCTCTCGTGCTGCCCCAGCATGCCGATATTCTATCAGATCTGGCGGCGGCCCTGGCAGGCTCCATTGGAATAGCACCCACGAGCAACCTCGATCCGACACGCGAGAATCCATCGATGTTCGAGCCCATACACGGCTCTGCATTCGACATAACCGGGAAAGGCATCGGTATGTTATGTGTTTTATGTTCATCCAAGGCCAACTCCAGCACCAACTCCAACTCATTCCCTGTTTGATATCTTCCAACTTGACATCTCGAGCCACTCTTTTCTTTATGCTCCGTCAGCTTGCTAACAACAGAACAAGCAAACCCCGTAGCAACCTTGTGGACGGCATCAGAGATGCTGCGGTGGCTCGGGGAGAAAGAGGCGGCCGCTCTGCTGCTGGAGTGTGTCGAGGCCGTGTGTGAGAAAGGAGTGGCCACGCCGGACTTGGGAGGCCAGCAGACCACTGCCGAGGTGACCAGCGCCGTATGTGAGGAGATTGACGGCCGGTTGGGGAGGTAACTGATTTGGCAAACAGCTAGGTTGAGGATAAATTGGTCGGTGTATTGAGTAATTGAGTACTCCGTATGATCGATGGGCCTAGTAATGAATGTCCAAAGAGTGAGGCGGCCGTCCGTCTTTGTCTAGCCCCTTATATAAGTATATATCATCTCCTTTGTACGTATCAACGCTTGTAAAATAAGGGCCCCCCGGTGGAACTGGTCAGGGCCTTATTTGATGTAATATTATGGCCATCGATGGGCCGCAGGCTTCAAAGTAAAACTCTGCAACCAGCATGATTGAATATTGAAACACGCTGGAAGAAGCAAAACGGCGAGACAGGTCAGAGGAAATTTCCGATCCATGGCCGTCCTGGAGAAAAAGAAACCCTCCCCTTTCCCTGGTGCTTCATGTCCCTACTCTGTCCATCCGTATCAGCATCAGCCCGTAATAATGAGAGTAATATCAACATCAATTGACCGTCCTGTATCCGTATAGCTGCAGTGTTAAGGAGTTACACCGTTGCCCAGGCAAGTTTCCCCTGCGTCTGCTAGAGCGCCGATGCGGAGGCCCGAAGCCCATGGCAACCGCGAAAGAAAACCGCCGCGTATCAAATAGTCTCGTACTTATTGTATTTATCATTTCCGTCAATCTAGGCTTGTTTTACGTCTTCTTTTTTGCATCTTTTCTGGCCGTTTTTTTATATCTTTGTTTTATGTTATTTTTCGAGACGAATTTTTTTTTCTAAGGAGAGATCACGTGGTTTCGTGTTATTCTCGCCTTTTTCTGTTTGTTTCTTTTGTGACGCGAAGAAAAAGAAGAAAAAGAGAAGAAGAAGAAGAGAAGAAGCGAAAGGAGAGAGAAAGACGGAGATGGAGATGGAAAAAGGGCTGTCGGGGTGGCAGCGGCGCGGTCGAGGGGAAGTAAGTAGGGCTGAGCGCCGGAGAGGGCGAGCGAGGCGGCTGATGGATGCTATATCCAAGACAGACGGACTGGAAGCCGGGCGACGTTGAGGCCGCAGATGAAACGGCCATGACATCAAGCCCAAGAAGATAGTGAGCAGCCGGGGGAGGGCGAGAAAGAGAGAAAAAAAAAAAGCTGCGAGCTGCGAACTGCCAGGGACATGGGCTGAGGACTGTCTTCCATGGGGCTTCTGGTGCGTCTTCTTTGCCATGACGGATCCCCAAGCTAATCCTTTCTCCAGGCGAGCATCACGGACTTGTGTAGAGTAATCAGAAAAGCCAGCTTTCGGGGCTTTCAGAGCTTACAGGCCTTTCACAGGCTTTCCCCCCCACCGTGACAAAAGCAGGGATGAAGGGCGCCTCTGCGACTAGCGAGCTCGACGGTCTTGCCGATCGGGGACATCCTCCGCTATTCGTCATATTTTTGGGGATGGACGAACGGAGCAGATGGAGCTCTCTTTGCTCTGGTGTATCAATATATTTCTCTTTTTGCGAGGAAAGAAAAAGGAATGCGAAATGTCATCGGCGGTTAGCCTGGCCATTAACATCCGCCCGTCTGATGTTGCCATGCAGTCTACGATGTGATGTGATATGATACTACAGCGGATATGCCTGTAAGGGCAGAGTAATAATATAATAACAGCAACAATAATAACCCCTCGAGACGGCATCACTCTGGAAACTGCTTGGACTCAAACTGCAACAAGACTCGGCACTGGCAAGGGAGGGATTGTTCTTGTGACCTCGAATCGATGACGATGATCTCCAACCGCGGGGCTGAGAATAGAAACCTTGGAAGGCCCATCGTCAAGGATGCCCCTCGCTGGAGCGAGTCGAAGCAGCGTGTGATGTGCTGGGGGGGGGGGGTCGACAGGAACCGAATTGATCCCTGCGGCTTAAGTGGCCACACTAAGCATATGATGCCAATGCTCATGGGCTTAAGGGGAGGGGATGGGAATGGAGGCTGACGAATAATGAGCTCCCATTTCTGGCTTGTCGAACTTTGGGGGCCATCTCCTGGTTGCTCTTTTCGGGGATTCTGCTGTGGCATGCATGCATGAGTTGATGCAGCAACCATGCAACGAGAGGAAGAGGGATGCATGGAACTAAACCGAGCCGGGCCATGGAACCAACAATTGTACAAATATAGCAAAGCAGCAGCACCAGCAGCAGTACTCCGTACAGGAGCAGCAGTGACCAAAGAGGAGAAAGCAGAAGAGCCGAAAAAAAAAAAGCAACGAGAGGAGGAGCTGCAAGAAAGTTGTCCAGCTGGCTTCTCAACTCTATTTCGCGGCTGGCTGCCCTGGTGATACGAAGCGCTAATGACTCCCTGTTCGTGAGGAGGCCCAATAAGACTAGATCTCGCACTGTCCCGATTGACTTTTTTTACTTTTTTTTTTTGGCTTCCTTTTTGCTTCTTCGAGTTTCGCTCAATCCTTCGTTCTGGGGAACGGATGCGAGTGTCTGGCTGGCTGGCTGGCTGGAGGAAGTAACCTGACGTCTGGGACCGAGCATGGATGCATCTTGATATGCAATTTGTTGCAGCAGACGAGGGCCTAGTAACCAGCAGCAGCAAATAGTTCGCAGCGGCAGAAGAAGAACCAAGAGGAATTACGGAGTAAAAGAGACAAGAGATCGAAAAAATAAAAGAGGAGAACACTGGAAATAGCGCGTGTGTTTCCAAAACATGCAAAGAAAGGGTGGAGTTTTGGGCGGTCCAGGGCCAACAGGGGAGAAGCCTGCTACCAGGACAACTGGTGTTACCCGGCGACGGCGATGGCAACGGAGTCGGAGTTTGCATCACTGCTCTCTCACCAGGGAGGGGCGGGGGGAAGAGAGAGCGAATCCAATATTTGGCTCTGTGCCCCTTGCGTACCGACTGAATCGGATGCTGAACCAGTGGCACGGAACCTCCATTTTGTGTTAGGCATATCAGAATCGATAGTTGGAGATCGAGAGACGAGGGAGAGTCGAGGCATTGAGGGTCCAAGAAACGGAGGAGAGTGACCTGCATGAAATCTCTTTGATGCGGCCATCCAGATCCATCCACATCCTTGGTTTTTTTTTGGCCGTACCTTGTGCCTTGGACCGGTCGTTACATACAGAGTATCCGCAGTCCGGTTACATGGTGGTATAGTTAGTTACCATGGTATCTATGGAGCACAGAATACCAGGTTACTCCGGCTACCAGACGGACGTCCTCTCCACCCGGGACAGAGCATGACCACGGAGGCCCTCCATTGCCGCCGGGACAGCAGCAGACAGCGAACGGAGGACGAGGGGAGAGCCATCGGGCAAGATCTGTGTGCCGCACGGTTTTGCTGTCAGCGAACGGTCTGTACGTCGTCGACAGCTACACCCGGCACCCTGAGCCAGGCAGGAGATCTACTACACAGCCAGGAGAGAAGACTGTGGTGGGCGGGAGGATGCAGGACAATACTGTATAACTATATATGCCGTATCTCCCTCAGTACCAGTAATAAATATCTATACTCCGTACACTCATACGTATAAAATACAGATCTCGCCGTCCGCCTGGCTGTTTGTATGCAGCGGCTCCCATGGCTCGCTGCAGATCTCTATATCACCATCAGAACCGGCCAGAGAGAGAGAGAGCTCCATCCGGAGCCACCAGCTTATACAGCTCCAGCTCCAGCTCCAGCTCCAGATCTAAGTAAGTAGATAGCAACCTGTAAACAAACAGCCAGGTCAGCCTTACGCTGGCCTCTCCAGCAAGCAGCCTGTGACGGTGGATGCAGTAGCTCGTCTAGCAGGGCGGCAAGCAGCGCAGCGATGCGAGGGCGATGCGTCGGATTGGCTGCAGCGATGGCCAGGTACCCCGGCCCTATGCAGCGGTACCTCGCTTTTGCGGGCGATCACCGCCAAAACAGAGGTACCTCGCCATGGCTGCTGGGTAGCTCTGCATAGTTCCACCCCGTACAAAACATACCTCGCGCATACCCAGTAGTTAGTTATTTACATACAAGAAGGATACCACCCGAAAAGGAACTTTACTTAGCCTTCGTCCTTTTTTTCTTTTCCCTTTCATGCTCCGTGCAATTCTGAGTGGCCTCTTCTTTTTTGCATACCAGCTGGCCGTTGCCCATTGCAACAGACGGGACAGCGTCTCTTTTTCTCTTCTTCGTCTTCGTCTTCGTCTTCGTCTTCTTCTTATTCTTCTCTTCTTCTCTTCTTCATCTTCTATCACGAACGACGACGACTGCTGCCGACTTATGTTGACCCCCCTCTGCCCTCTCTAGCACCCATCACCACCACCTGCCTTCACCTCCTCCTCCACGACCACCACCGCCGCCATGGCAAACTAGAACCCCCTGCAGACGGTCATCTCTTCGTTCCGGCTCGATTGGACCTGGGGACGCTCTTGGGCCATCTCCAGCAACCGGGGACCTTTCTTTTAGGCCGAACAGGAACGCTGCTGCACAGCCAAGCCAGCAGCACCGCCTCTACGAACCATTCACGACCACAAAACCTCCGACCAAACAGACTAGAGCTACAGACTAGAGAGAGACAGCTAGAGAGATAGAGAGAGAGATAGACTCAGCAGGCCGAGGACATCTGCAGTCTGCTAGTTACGGGGAGGAATCTTGCTACAGACATTGTGCTGGTTACACTGGGATAGACAGCTGACTGACTGACTGCCCTGCCACTATGGAGCAGTCCTCGCCGTTGGCTGCCATGCATCCTCCCTCTGTCCACTTCGGCCACTGCTTCAGAGCAGAGCCTGCCGGCTCCTTCACCCAGTTCCCGGCCCCGGTGCCCTCCTTTGGCCCTGACAGCTTCAACTTCAGGGATCTTTCCATGAAGCGGGCGAGGGCCGACTACTTCACGGCCGTCAAGCCTGCTTCTCGGCCCTCGCCCACCGTCTCCCTCGCCGCAGACCTCTCCCAGAACTTCCATATTGACCAGAGGTGCGTCTTCATATATCCGGGGCAAACAAACAGTCTCTCTTCTTTCCCTTGTTTGCTTGTCCTTGTCCTGTCCCTGTTATGTCTTCTTGTCTTGTCTAACTTCTTTCAGTCCGCAGTTGGCTACGCCTCGCAGGTCGCTGTTTTCAGCTAATCTGTTTTGCTCGGATAATGGTATATATACACCCTTCCATCGTGTGTCCTATATATATCTAAAACGAAGGGCCCGGGACACGGGACACGGGACCCGGGATTATATGGTATATAAAGGCTAATGACCGTGGTAGATACAATAACAACCCCGCCGATACCCTCCTCTCCTGCTCCTACAGATATCATGGAGATGTCTCCGCTGCCGCACAAGGCCCCCTTCGGCATGGCCCTGGATCTAGAGTCTCCCACGATGGAGTTGTCTATGGCAAAGTCCCAGCAGTCCCTGTTTCTGTCTGATACTTTGCAACAGTCGCCTATTGAGCCTAGCCGGTCATCCACGCCGTCAGAGTGAGTTTTTTTTTATTATGCCATTATCAAAACTCCATATTGGTTGTCAGCTTGAAAGCGGGTGGTAGACTGACTGGTGTGTGTTTAGACGCCGAAAAGCTCCAATGCTGAGACCGTCCCTGATGCGTACCAAGGCCTACAGCGCCTCAAGGACGCCCCTTGCACAGCCACCGCAATTCAAGTTCCTCGCTGGCGGCAGCAAGCTCTCCACCTCGACCCCAATCTCGCTGGCAGAGATTTTCGAAGATGACCCAGACAGCCCCTCCACGGCTCGGAGCAGTACCAATGGTCCTCCGGGCCCGCCACGGTCACGATCGTCCAGAGCACTAGCACAGGTACCAGAGAATGGCTCTCCAAGCTACGGTGCCATGAGAAGAGGGTCCAACCCCTTTTCTCGCCCGCGGAAACTCAGCAGACGCTCGCTTAGCATGTTTGAGCACCCGGAAGATGTACTCAAGGACGACAAGGAGGACACCACCATGCATGCCAGCACCGCTCTCCAGTCTATCACAGACATGGAGTCTTCTGCTCCAACTCTGACTCTGCCGCACTTCATCCCTGACGATCAGCCAGACTGCCTCCCTAGAATTGAAAATAGCGTGCTCGTGGACATCATCGATGGGAAATATAGCGATCAGTTTGACAACATCACCATAATAGATTGTCGGTTCGAATACGAATATGAAGGCGGCCATATCAACGGCGCAGTCAACTACAACGACAAGGAGCAGCTTGCAGAAAAACTCTTTACCGAGGGAGAGATGAAGCAAAAGACCGCTCTCATCTTTCACTGCGAGTACTCCGCCCACCGTGCTCCAATCATGTTCGTTTGATTTCTTTCACTCTATACGTTCTTTCCCTTGTAGTCTTGCTAATCGCCATAGGGCCAAATTCATTCGTCACCGAGATCGAGCCGTCAATATCGACCAGTACCCTAAATTGACCTTCCCAGAGATGTATATCCTCCACGGTGGATACAGCGGTTTCTTTGCCGAGCATAGCTCCCTCTGCTACCCTCAAAACTACGTCGAAATGGCTGCCAAGGAGCACGAATTCGCATGCGAGCGTGGTCTGGGTAAAGTAAAGCAACGGTCAAAGCTCTCCCGAGCTCAAACGTTTGCTTTCGGTCAACAGAACTCACCAATGGAAGATAGTCCGACTGGTCGATGTCGTGGAGCATCCGATCGCAACATGAACAATACTTTCGAAAGTCCCCTGGGACGGGGCTTTTCTCCGGGCCGTCTGCCTGAAAGACGCATGTTCTCATACTAACATGCAAGCCAACCGACTTTTTTTTTCTCCTCCCTTGCCAATGGGTGCTAATGTTCTTGATGGAGTTACGCCTTAACCTGACTTGAAGTCCTAACGTTTGATTCTACCCTCATCTTTACGCCTGGCGCACCGGACCATTCCATTGTTTTCCCTCTTCCTCACCCCTTGATTCCATAGCATGGCCACAAGGCCTTTGCTTTTCTTACCTTTTTCCACTTCGATTCTTATCTTGTTCGCCAGCGACCAGAAAAGCGTTCAAGCCACACAAAAAGTTCTCCCTTCTGCTTTCCTTGTCGAAGCGTCATAGCGGAACTCTTCATTGATAGCGTCCTTTTTTCTTCTCTTCCCTTTCCTTCCCCCTGCCCTTTTTTACTTTCTTACGGGGATTCTATCCTTTACTTTATTTTATTTTTCCCTATTATCTTGAGCGATTGATTATTACTTGGCTCAGCGCAAGCGTTTCCTTTACCCCTTTCCCTCAGCTTCCTCCATGATCATGTCCAATTGATTGACTGACTGACCCATTATCCTGCACAATTACCCCTTGTTTTTCCTTATCCAACATCACCATTTTTCCTTTGTCGATATACCTGTTTTTCCTTGTTTATCTTCCCTTTGTCTACACTTGCCTCTACCGAGCTGAGCTGAGCTGTTTCCCACATCCGCCATGCGCCACACCTTCACCTCCACATGAGACGACAAGAAAGACCGCACACGAGTTCCGAAAGACCCCTTGAACCAACAATGCAACGCCAACGCCAACGCCAACACTAACGCCCTATCTATCTGACACTCCTTCAACTTTCTTTCCGCTTTTCCTTTCTTCTCTTCCCGCTCTTCTAGCCGGCGCGGACGCACTTCCTGGCCTTCCCACATCACCGGATCGGATCAGAGCTCATTCTGAAACAAACCCCGCTGCTGATCCCCGGCTATGATGCGATGTTGGCATAGCCTGTCTGGCCATCAAAACTCAACGCAGTTTTGCCCCCCCTCGTTTTCCTCTCTTTCCTCTTCCTCTTCTATCCTCATGCTTGCGCCGCCACGCAGACGCCGCGCTATGCTGAGCAAACATCAAACAGCAAATAACGACAACAACAACATCGACAACCACTGGACCCCATTCGCTCTTCCCTACCCGAAGCGGACTTTACCGCTCTTCAGTTTATTTCCTCTGTTCATCTAGATTCGGTCAGGTCATGGGAGGTTCCCTGTTTGCATGCTTATTTTACCCCCACATTTATCTCTTCGCTTTTTGTGTATCTCATACCACGCCCACGCACGCCTGAGTCACTACACGAGGTTGGTCTACGCAGTTCACAGCTGGGCTTAGGAACACAGCACACTGCCCATGTTTGCCTGCTGCGATGCAACTCTCTTTCAGTGGTCTCGATAACGCGTGCTCGCGTGCTTGTTTGGTCTTGCACTTAGTTGTTCTCTATCTCTAGTTTGGAAGCGAAGGAGCAAAGGATTAAAGGATCGGGGGTCCTTTAGCCGGTTTTTCTACATATGCAGCTACTTTGTCTAGCAGAACAGCATACGATTAACATACCATAACATACAAAAAAATAAATAAAAAAAAAAAGTATCAATTTACCTTCTCGTCTTTTCTCTTCATTCCTTCGCGTCTTTTCTCTCGCTTCTTTCGGAGTTTCTTTTTCGTCGTGTAAACAAACAAACCGCGCCAAGACCTACGTCATCACTTTTTGCTTTTTTTTAGCCGCAAAATTCTAAATTTAGCTTCAATATCTCTCACACTGACAAAAATTGGAATATCGGGAACGCCAAAGGCACGCTGCGCAAAAGCAAAGATCGACAATAAGCGAAGAACGAGAAAGAGGAGAAGCGAAGGAGGGCACATGATGGAGGGAATTGGGATCGATGATATCCTCGCGTCGGTTGACAGGGGTGATTTCTCTTCTCCCGAGGCCACAGCCGTCGACCACCAGCAACTAACGCGGTTCTGGGTCGCGGAGCGGGCTGTTCCTGAATTGCTGCCATGGCCCGGCGCGTTGATGGACCGGATGATGGAGAGGGTTTCAAAGCAGGTAGATATCCATATCACTCAATATAGCAGCATTGGACGACTGCCCGTTTCACTAGTAATTGCTAACCGAGCTGGTGATGTACAAGATATCGAAGATCGAGGACCTCTCAATGGCAGCAGCCGACCCGCTCTCACCGGAGAACAATAACCAGAACAAGCCAACGCTGAACCTCAAGTTATCAATAATGCAGTCCGATCTGGCGCGGACGCAATACATCATTCGTTCAATATTGCGCCAGAGATTATCAAAACTTATCAAGTATAGCATATACTATTTACGAATATCGATGAATCAGGAAACACAAACCCCCGCGGGGGCAGATGCGGCAACCCTCCTCTCTGAGAAAGAACTGCAGTTTCTACGCGGCCACCAGTCACTGTTAACAACGCATTATAATGCTTCGTTTCTCTCTACGTTCCCTGCAAACCTGAAAAGGCTGGATGATAACGTCGGTGGTACAAATATGGTTGTTGCACCGGAGAATAAAGAGGTTGTTTTCGTGCGGTGTTTGAGCGAAGAGTCTAGGATTGTTATCCCTGCTTTAGAGGGCGAGGAAGGGATGGCTGGTCTTGAGAGGTATGGCGGGAGCATGGCCAGGGGTGAGATATGGGTTGTTCGATGGGAGGGTGTTAAGGATGCATGGAAGCGGGGGGATATCGAGGTTCTTTAGCCTGTTTCTTTTTGGTCCACGGGATTTCGGTTGGTAGTTTTTTTTTTTTTTATTGGCTATATGTAGTATGGATCATGGAGGGTTACTGACGATATAACGACATAAGTATATAGTTCAACGAGCATTTTGATACCATGTAGCCGGTTAACTAGCCATCTAAGGAATTGTTGCATCATGTTTAATTTAGTCAACCCGAACATCCCATCCGACACTTGAAGAATACGACCAGACATAATATTCAAGAGAAACCCCAGTACTTTCGCTCTCTAGAAGCATGAGAATATGATGCTGTGACACTCTAAGACCAAAACCCCCAATTAACGCCCTCTGCTCGCATCCCGGCATCATCATTATTTACCATTCCACTAGTTACTTCATACATCAGCTCTAAACTCTAGACGTATGATAGAAACGTATTTGTCCCATCTACGCAACGTAGGAGTAAGCCGGGGGGTCTGAATCGGTAATACGTTCCAAGTACTCCCGATCAATGAGACTTTCAATTCGTTTCTTCACCATGTTCACATCTGGCGTGAAGCGAGCTGCAAGCTGTGAGATTGCCTCCGTGATCAACTGTGAATGAGCCAGTGTTTTCCGTTGCCTAGATAGCGTGTTAGTTGAATGTACTGAGACATAACGGGAGAAAGATGGCTATTTACTTCATGATTCGAACAATGGCAGCTTCAATCGTGTTGCCTCGCTCTTCACTGGTCTTTTTCTCAGTGTCTGTTCTCTCTTCCTTGTTTTCTACTTTGTTCCCGCTGGCGCTGACGACACCAATCTTCAGCCTCGTGAACTTGCTGGTGAACTGCTCGTTGAACGAGAACTTATCGGATGGCTGCACGCCTTTGCTCATAGGCTCTTTTCGAAGCACACGAGTCTTTGGTGCCACGGCAAGGGATTGAAGGTTTCGGATAAGTTCATTGGTGGGAATCCTGGTCTTTTCCTGGATTTCTTCGAATGTAAGGGATTCGCCGGAAGGCAAATCATTAAATAGAAGCAGGATAACCATTGCGTACGTAGAGACATTCAAGTCATGCCGTTCAACTTTGCCATTTGGTCGTGTGAACGTCGCGCGAATGTCGGCTGTACCCATACCTGGGAGCCACGATAGTTTCCTCCCGCTGTGCTTGTCGAGGTAGAATCGTTCAAAGCTCTGCTTGAGAGATTCAACATTTTTCGGGAAGATGCAAGGAAGCTGCACCTGGCCTTCTCTGTTGTGACTGCTCATGATCTCCATGGGCCACATGGTACTTGTGAGGACACTCATCTCTAGTTCGATCCGAGAATTGTTTCCAATATAATCCCGATAGCTAGTAGTGAGATCAGCAGAGACAGCCATGTCCTTGAACATGGACTCCAACCGCTGTGTAAATGTGTTTCCTACTTCCATCTTCATTTTTGTAATCATTTGTCGCTCAGCGTCCATGCTTGCTGACCGTTTCATAAGCAGACGACGTGACAAATGCTTTTTATAGTACGTTTCGAAGAGGTCTTTATCTCGAATGTATCTTAGCAAGGTAATGCCGTTATCAATCAGGGCATCAACTTCTTCTTCCGTCTTGCCCTTGATGCCTTTTCTCAAGTTCTCGTCAAAAAAGAGGGACAGGTACTCAGTGCCTCGAGGATTGACATTGATGAAGTCTGAGAAACTGAGGGTAAGAGCGGTCTGCAATGCCTGGTCCTTGATAAAAGCCTCTTCCCATATTCGATCAAATTTCGCTTTCAGTTTTAAAACATCATCCACCCACTTGATCGCCGCCGCAGTCTGCAGATTTGCAACCGGCTGCTTTTCATCTGGTACCGAGGATTTCTTCCCCTGGTCTGTCGCTGAAGGAGCTGGTGGGTTTTGTGAGAGCTCTTTAGCAGCGGTGTTGACAGCAGTCCCGTATTCAATAACTGTCTGTTGAACAACCTTGGTCAATGCAACTTTCTTCGCATCAATGCGAGCAATAAGTTCGAAAACATTCTTAAGGTCTTCCAATCGGTCATTCTGGATCATGTATTTAACTCCGCTATCATCCATACGTATTACCTCTCCGATATAGTGTCTGATTAGGCAGTCATCGATGACTTCCATGACCTTGGCTTCTGTCACAGGAGATAAAGTCTGCTGACACAATGACTGCTCTGCTCTGATCCTAGCTGTGACTCTCTTGCAAAATGTTGCTGCATCAGTGGTTGTAAGTAGCCGCTGGCCCTCCGCTGCGTAGTATCTGCGGCTTGCCTCAAGGTATGCAGGTTCGAAGGTGGTATGGTATAATTTCCCAGTTGAGTCTTCAATACCATCTTCATAGAGGCCTTCCAACAGGTAAACACAGTGTTTAATCAACGTACGGTCTATTATCACTCCCTCGCGTTCAAGCAGGATCATGAACAGGAGTGTATTTTCGAAAACGGAGCCAATCGTGCCGTTCTCACCGCCAATATCTGCTCTTAGCACACAGTCACGGAATAAACCCATTGACGTGTCGTATATGGACTGACTTCGGAGTTCTTGCATCACAACCCGGTCCATGTACATCAGGACATCGGTAATCATACCCATGCAGAGCTGGTGATCTTCCCAGACTTCTTTAAGCTTGGCCAGTAGCCGCTCTCCAGCTGCTTTTCTTTCGTTTGCATGCTCAGTTGCGTCGGCAGAGTCCGTAATGGTAAGGAGAGCTGGAGTGATCAGGCTCGCGACTTGCTTACGAACGTCATTGTATAGCCAATCTTTTTCTAACTCGGCAACTTTTTCGTACAGGTCCATAGCCTGCTTCCGCAGGACTAGCTTGTAGGCATTGCGATAAAGCTCTTCAAATGAGAGCTGGGAGGAGTTTTTTGTGTGTATTTCCCGTATCGACGAAGCAAGTATATTCCATATTGAGGCAAAATCGTCATTTTCATTCCTACCCGTCATGCCCTAAGGAAAAAACAATATTAATAATGAAGTCACAATGGAACTAAAGCTCTCATACAATAAAATACGACAATGACAGAGGTATAGTGTTTAATTGGTAAAGATATGTGACTGTATATCTCCAGTGTGAAGCTCTTGGGCGATACATACCCTCCTTGGGACCCTGACTTTAGCGCGCGGTTTCATGGTAAAGTGCAGCCAGAGGAAAAAGCTATATTTGAAAGAAAAAGCTACCCAGGATTAAAGAATGTAAGTATTCAAGTAGGAGGAAAAATGCAGAAAAAAGGGAAGCTGGATAAGCTGGTGTTTATATCCAATCTATGTAGCGGGGGCTCGTTCTGGAGGCTGCCTTCAGGACATTTCAGACCCCGGACATTGCAAAGAAACAATGCGTGCGTCTCTCTTCTTTAGCACTAGCCAGGCAGCAGGCCGTCTCTCCTGTTCTATCTGCTTCTCCTTCCGCTCTGCGCAGCTTCTTCTTCGTCCTCTTCTTCCCAAAGGGATGTTGAAGTTGTCACTCTTATTTGTCGTTTCGCGGGGAACTTTTTTTATCTCCGAGACGGCTCGGCGGCGAAACCTTTTCCCGAAAAAGTCTAAAAGTTTAAACCTTAAGGATTTTGGCCTCGAAGACCTGAAGATTAAAACAGCAACGTCAAAAGACAACGTCAAAAGACAACGTCAAAAGACAAGAAGAGATCAAGAAGAAGGACGACACATACCCGGGGAAAGAGCAGATTTTATCACCATGGCCACTGGACAGAGATTATTTCGACACACGCTCACGACAGCGTGCCGACTTGCACGTGCTTATACCTCACGACCGGGAGTTCAGTCGACGTCTATTTCGCTCCCACTACCACAGACATCACCGCGATTATCAAGCATTCTACTGCGTCATCCAGCTCTATTGTTTTCATTACAGAGTAGGAACAGCTACTCAACGACAACCAGAGATCCCCACCCGCTCACAGACAACAAGACACCCGCAACTACGGAAGAAGAGACACAGGCTGCTCAAGCTCGACGAGACCAGGAACCCGCATATCTCATCTACTTTACGTGCAAACCATGCTCGCACAGGTCGGCACATCGTATCTCAAAACATGGATATCATAAGGGAACTATCCTGATTACTTGTCCAAGCTGTAGCAACCGACATGTTATCAGTGATCATCTAAAAATCTTCTCAGATGCCCCTGTCACACTTGAAGATTTGCTTGCGCAGAAAGGCCTGAAGATCACCAAAGGGACAATGGAGGGGGATATGGAATGGTGGGCTAAAGATGAGGAGAATGTTGAAGCTAGCACGGAGACTACATCTGAGCACGCTCAGCTAAAGGGTGGCGAGGGCCAGGATGGAAAAGTCTAGACTGTATCATGATTGTGCCAAATTGTTTTTTGAAGTTTTGCTTCGGTATTTCATATCATTTGGATACCTATGAATGGCGCACGGGGTGGTTATAATCCTTTAGAGTGGCAGCGGCCGGGCATTGGTAATGGGTCAAATCAGTTGCTACATGATCTCCGTTTTTGCACCGTGTATTATATAGATTGTACAATATTTTAATTTCTCCAGATCTATCATATGCTAAAATGCCAATGATGTATTCAAGATTCCTCCAAACGCCATCCATCCCCGGCCAATTAACTTTTTTTTTTATACCCCAAACCCCTGACTCCATTGAGATAGTATTCGTCCAAACATAAATATACCCTTAGAGTTCATGTCGACGGTTCCTGTTTTCCAACACTCTTTCCTTTCTCTTTTCTCTCTTTCTATCATGTTTGCGCTTCTTGTCGCGGCTAACCTTCTCTGGTGCAGTGACGGCCTCTATCCTTCGCTTGACTCTCCGTTCTTCCCTCCTCTCCTTTACCTGCTCCCGCACCTCACTTATGTGTGCCACAAAGTCCGTAGTTCCTAGCTTCTTCTGGAGTATATCTAATACCTCCTGACTACTCGTCACCAAAGACTTGTATGTGTTCTGGAAGATCTCATCTGAGGATCGTGGTGCCGGAATCGAAGTGTCGGTTAGGTGTATAAGAGGAAGCAGGATAGTTTGTAGATATGGCACCACCTTCGAGGCATCGATATGAGTGCAAAGCGCGGCAACCATTTTCATAGAAGCCGTTTTAGCATTGAGTGACTCTGCTCGAGTGTTAAGGACTTCTTTTCGAAGGATTCGAGCTGCTTGTTCAAATATATATTGAATGGCCGTCTTCTTCTCCCTGGCAGGTTTAGAATTGGATACATGATCCTCTTCTTCGAATTCACTTTCTTCCACCTCTTCAGCCTCCTTTTGAGGAAGTACTAGGTTATTCTGCGCAAAGCAGCGACCAAGGAATATTAGATTTCGAACAGTCTGAATTGCAAGATCCTCCGATATGCCTGGCGCCTTCAAACAAAACATGCTTGAACGAGTTATTTGAAGCATCAACGTAACATCTAGTACCAAGCCTGAAGAGCCGACCAGAGGAATGGATGAATATCCAGTCGATGAATTAGCTTTGGCTATGTCTGCCAGCCAGACACCAACAAGGTTCGCGGCACACGATCGTACCCAAGCTTGAGGATAACACAGGCTTTGGAGAACTTGAGACCAGACATTTGCACAGGACGGGTTTAATGTGACACTCGGGAATAGCTTCGATAGCTTCACAAAGAGCTGAAGAGAATAGTATAAAATCTCCCACTCATTCGCTTCCCTATTATCCAAAGAAAGACTCATAATACCAGGGAGAAGCTCGGTGACGAACCTGACGTATCTGTCTTTGTTATTGGCATCTGACTCAAAGAATATTCGAATGGCCTGCAGCCCTGTATTCGTAAGAGCGATATTATCAGACTGTTCGAGCCAGGACTCGAGTGGAGACAGTATTGCCTTCAGATGCTCAGCATCAGCACGGGTAAAAATAGTTCCTAGAAGAGACCCGGCCATCTCTCGGAAAGTAGGCGCCTCGTCATTGGCCATAACCATCACGAGTGGAATAAAGAAAGTGTCTACCATCTCCTGAGCTAACTCCCCATTTGTCTTTGCTAGGATGAGATGGATGGCTTCCATCACAGACTCTCGACCTTCCCTATGGGCATAATCCAAGTTCTTCGCGAGATACGCCATCTGCTTTGTCCATCTATTTTTTGCTTGCGGGTACTCAACTAGGAATTGCACGTACGTACCCCTTGCCAGATCCCGAGCATTCCGCGTATGGTTCGTTATCATCATGGCAGAGATCTTATCAACAACTTCGTAGATCTCTGGTACCATGAACTTCCGTGACATCACGGATCTGATGAAATTGAACACGATTCCTTGGCGATCGGGTTCATCAATGTCTGCAGACACGCGTTTCAAGAGGTATGCAAGATATGAATCTTTGATGGTGGTACGTTTCCGCTCCCGCAAAACGGTAGAAACAAGTTTAAGAGCCGCCTGAGATGCATCGGTTTGCGAACTTGCCGATTCCTTCATCAGCTTGACACATTCAACGATATATACATCCGCATTCTTGTCAAGCTCAGGTAAAGGGAGTTTGATGATGGTAGATAAGAGCCGAATTGCAGAAAGTTTGACTTCTTCGTATCCTTGTACTATAGAGTCACCGATAATAGGGACAAAGCCAGCTACATTATCCGCAGTCAACAGGGAGTTATACTTGTTGAGCACTGAGCGAAGGGTATCCAAGCTAAAGCGGGCGAGTTTGTAAAGGTAAGATGTAGTGCTTCCACCACTTTTCTTTCGAATAGATGCAACCTGGACGAGGAATCGACTTCTTGTTTTCCATTCGTCGTTGTCCAGAACTGGTTCAGGCACCTTGTATGACTCTTTAATCACTTCATAGCAGAACATCAGAAAGTCACGACTTTCTGCCCCTGGATTTCTCAACAAGCCAATGCCAATGCGTCGTAATAGCTCGTCTATCTTGCCCACAAGGTTGGTTGTAAGTTTCTCCTGTAAAAGCTGTTGGATTGGTTGAATAAGGTCGTAGATGTGCCGAATGCTAGCATTCTTGGCTAACAGCTCAGCAGAATCATAACTTTTACTACTTTTCACTTCTTTCATCTTGCTGACGTATTCTTCGGCATCCTTTTGTTGGCCAACGGTACCAAATATATCGTCCATGATAATTTCACCCAAAGTACTCAGGTCTTGATCTAACGCACCAACCTCAAATTCGTCCGCAGTTGCAACGAGGATAGAATGAACCGTGAAGGAAAGCACATGAAGTTGGTATCCTCTGCTCAAGGCTCCCTTCAACTCCGTAAGGATATACCCAAAATATGACGGCCCTAGAATGATAGCAATATCTGCAAGAGTTTTTCTTGCTGTATCTCTGGTCTCCTGCGCACGGCTGCGCAAGATACTAGACACATCCATAAGAAGAGAAGGAAGCATTAACGCCATATCTTCTTCAGGTAGCAATTTCAGAAGTTTGACGGCCGCTACTGCTACAGGAAGACGCAACGCAACGTCAGACTCACTTCGCTTGTTGGTGAATCCAGTCAGGAAGGGAATGAAGTTCGTCTTCAGTTCAGCCGTTAGTTTGGTACCATTAGGGATTGAAGCGCTAAGCGTTGTCTGGACCCCTGGGCTTTCTTCTATTTCCATTTCTTCTCCAGTAACTTCCTCAGAAATCGCTCGTGTGGCTTTACCCGAAACGGCACGAGAAAGAGCATCCGTCATTTGGCTAAGCAGGCGGATAACGCTCTTTTCTAAGCCAGGTTTGCTTTTGATGTACCCCTGGTATCGGCGGAAGATAGCTTTAAATTGGTTCCACGTAATGGCCTCACTCAGGGAACCAACTGTTGTAACAGCTCCAGCTATTAAATTATGAGCATTTTCATCTTCGGATTGCTGGAAAACGAAGTGCTCAATAAGAGGGAAAAATATGGTGCTGGTATTGGTAGCTTGGATCTTGCCTTTGGTAACCTCAGTAGCAAGCCTCCTCAATGCACGCAGGCGTCGATGTTGCTGTATATGAAGAATGTTATTGAAAAATGATGC